CTACCATTATTAATTATAAAATATTATAATGAAAGTATAAAACTGTGACAATGTCTAAAAGAAAAAAGAGATTCAAAATAATATGAAGTTAAAATACTACTTTGAATTTTTTCTGTTTCAGATTATATGGATGGTTCTCCTTAATGTGTTTTGTTACCTACCCAAGTTTACAGAAAGTTTTAGTTGTTTTATTAAAATATTGTTTATTTAGAAAATTTATTATAAATTAGTTTTAATGATATAATAGATAATACAATTATTTTATATTAAATTATTTTACCCTTCCTAAAATTATGGGTCATAAAATTTTATATTTTGATTGGCATTTTGTTACATCTTGCACCTTGTCTGTGTTGTAAAAAATGCCAATAAAAATGCAAAATTTTAGTTATACTAATTAAAGTAGAGCTACAAACAAAATCCCGCTAATTTTTAAATAAAATAAAATATGCAGGTATCTATATTACCGACTGAGAAATAGTTGGACAAATCCCTTACCGGCGGCGCTGCAAGCAAACCTGTTGCCATATTTCTTCAAAGAAACGGCAACTCTTAATTATCCTTCCTCCATGTTCCCAACAATCTGCCTTTTATTTTGCCTACTAAGGAGAAAATCATCCTTATTAGGAATCTTCAGCAATAAATGGAACTTCTCGACTTCAGTCTCTAATGAAGTCTGTTTTTGAAACAATGTCGATCAAACTCAATTACGGCGGGTTAAGCATGAGTAGATACGAAAGTGGTATCGCCATCTATACTTAGGAAGCAAAATCAAAAATTACATCTAGTAGATATCCACGATGGTTTGCGTCCGCGCTTAGACTTTGATATATTTATATTTATAGTGGATGTCCATGGGATATTGAATACACCTTAAAAAAAATTAATTTTAAATATCTCAACGGTACTATTAGCCACAATGGCGAGTACAATGGCGTATTTTTTTAATAATTTGCTATATAATTACAATTATTTATGGACATTTGCATGTCTATAAATTACATTTCATGGATATAAAATAGATATCCACCATGGACTGGACATTCAGTGGATATTGGGATGTTCAGTAGATATCCAAAGGATTTGGTGTGCTGTCTGGGATCTGAAATCAAAATAATGATGAATTAATTGTAATCATAATTAAGGATAATAACCAGATACCTACCTGCCGCTCAGTAACGGGGTAATCATCAATCTAAGCGGAATTACCCCAAATTTAAATTTTTGGACAAAATGGTAACAAGCTTTTTGGAATAAATAAACGGTGTTCACACTAAAATACGCCCAAGACCACATACTTTGATTTTCTTTTACTATACGGAGAATGGTCGCACTGCGCAGCTTTCTGAGTGCCTCTTAAAAGGAGATAGAAAACTCCGCCATTTTGATACCTTATTACGTGTTGCCTACATCTTGGCGTAATATTTTTAATAGGTGCGTTTTAATCATCCGCTTCTGCTTCGGAATTGTCGGTTTTCTTGTTTTAATCTGACAGGTTAAAACGACTAAACCGACAATTCCGAAAGCAGAAGCGGAGATTAAAACGCACCTGATATTTTGCTTGCTGCTGTCAGTGTCAGTGAATATTATTTTTGGAGTCACAGTTTATTGCTAAAGAATCAGTTAGCTCACTCGGACCAGTTGAAAGTTCCAAAATAACATCCACTCCAGGAATACAAATTCAGGATACGCAGAAGACTGATGTTTTATTATAGGCGGTTGTCATATATTGTATTATCCGAGTTGCACAGTGTATAAACTGAAACATTGAGATCAAAAGTGCCGACGCAGAGTGAGCGATCTGATTCTTTAGCTGTAAACTGTGTCACAGGGTTCAAAATGGCCGCGCCCTATGTTGGGCGTGTCGGACCCACATACTTTGATTTTCTTTTACTATACGGAGAATGGTCGCACTGCACAGCTTTCTGAGTGCCTTTTAAAAGGAGATAGAAAACTCCGCCATTTTGATACCTTATTACGTGTTGCCTACATCCTGGCGTAATATTTTTAATAGGTGCGTTTTAATCATCCGCTTCTGCTTCGGAATTGTCGGTTTTCTTGTTTTAATCTGACAGGTTAAAACGACTAAACCGACAATTCCGAAAGCAGAAGCGGAGATTAAAACGCACCTGATATTTTGCTTGCTGCTGTCAGTGTCAGTGAATATTATTTTTGAAGTCACAGTTTATTGCTAAAGAATCAGTTAGCTCACTCGGACCAGTTGAAAGTTCCAAAATAACATCCACTCCAGGGATACAAATTCAGGATACGCAGAAGACTGCTGTTTTATTATAGGTGGTTGTCATATGTTGTATTATCCGAGTTGCACAGTGTATAAACTGAAATATTGAAATCAAAAGTGCCGACGCAGAGTGAGCGATCTGATTCTTTAGTTGTAAACTGTGTCACAGGGTTCAAAATGGCCGCGCCCTATGTTGGGCGTGTCGGACCTCTCTCTTGCCTCGTATAGTAATCAAAGTATGTGGTCGGACCTCTCGCCGCGTTTGAGAATCCACATCCGATGCATTTTTTACATCTCGAGCGTTTTTTTTATCCACATCGGACACATCTACTACATCTACATCTGCGTTTGTTTATCCCAGAAGTACCTGTTCAGATTACATTTTTTACATCAGGGCTGGTATATCTAAGGGGGTCGCGACATAGGAGTCCATTTTGGACGCCATTTTTTTCGAAATAGTAGTCGCCATTGATCTGGCAACGTGGCAACTTGTAGTCGCCAGGTTCACCAATATAAGAAAAAAAATCAATGTCATTTTTTAAATGACATTTCCATTATAAAATGCCCATATTTTTTTGGATAAAATATTTCAATTTAATAAATTATTAATCTCAGATGTACATAGAATACGTCGGGAAAAGTAGATCACTTTCAATTTTGTGCTGTTTTGGTTTTGTTTATTTTAAAAGGTAATTGAAGAGATGAAGACAATTTTCTTATAGATGATGCATAACAAATTATTGCTCCCTTTTTTAGAGCTCCAGTCCCTTAAGTCTATTTATTTTAGGTCTTATAGAAAACATGTATGGTTTCGAATAGAAAATTACCAAAATTAGCAGATCTAGTGAATATTGTATTTAAAGAATATATTTTTATTCAAAACTTTTGTGCTTCTACTCCAATACTAACCATATAGAAGCATATGCATTTTATAGTATTTGCAAGATTCGGATCAAATGTATCCACAATTTATAAAGATTATTAAACTAAAATAAAACATTTCAAATAACACCTGCTTTTATGTTAAATATGTTTTTATTAAATACACAAATTAGTCTCAACTACACATTTTTTTTGTTTTTACTTCTAGTATAAAAGTGACTACTAATTCAGTCTTTCAAGTTTATTATTTATAGAGACCAGCTACTACAAAATATCTTATTGATGATAACTAATTTCTCTTTAATAATGGTTTTGCATTTATTAACATTTTACAGCACTTTGTTTATATGAAACATCTATGTAACTCTTAATTAAATCACATTTAAATCAAGTAATTACATTTTCATATTCAACTTATGTATTCTTATTAGAACTTGGGTCACTTTTTTTACTTTGAATCTTTTGACTGTGGTAACAGTCCATTCACCAAACCACAAAGTCACTTAAAAATGTTGAAAGAGAATGTCATAAAGGTAAAATTCCTTCTTCTATCGTGTTTTTCATGCAATTTTAGGTTGTAAACGTTTTGTCCAACACCTTTTTTACAATTTATCCCAAGCAACACTATGAAAGATTTAAATCCTGGATTTACAGCATTCAGTTTCGAGATGCGTGCAGTCACAATGTAGTTTAAGATATAATTTTCACATGAACACTTATTTACCACAGCACAAACGCATGTACCTATTCATGTAACATTAAAATAAAGTGGAAACAAATTGCATAATTTGGTATTTAAAAAAGTACAAAATGTTTTTAGTTTTAATTCGACATTGAACTACACTACGACTACGAGGAAAACAGTGGTTCATTCCACTTGTACCATATTGACATTATTATGCACGATGCTCGTTCAAACGAACATCAGAAAAGTGTTACCAACTTAAGCTGACTACTATTTCCCCCCTAGCCTCAGTCACCCCCTCATCGATTTACTGGGTCTATGTCGCGACCCCCTTAGATATACCAGCCCTGTTTTACATCTCGATTTGAAATGAGATGTTCGTTCCATGCCAGAAAGTAAGTGTTCTGTGAAGTCTTGTTTGTCAATTTATCCTTTGTTATGAATATAAAAGTGATTAGTTTGTTTAATTTTTGTTTATATTTCAAATTTAGGTTGATTTGTAGTCTCAAAAGTCAAATTTAATAAGTATAAACTTCTAACTTGTCATTGACATTTTATCACGTGACCAAATAAAGTCTAGAGCGTTTGTTTATTACATCTACATTCAGATCTAATTATCTATCACGTGATAAAAAATTCACAACATCTCAGATGCATCCGATGTGGATTCTCAAACGCGGCAAATGTATGTGAGTCACAGTTTATTGCTAAATAATCAGTTAGCTCACTCGGAACAGTTGAAAGTTCCAAAATAACATCCACTCCAGGGATACAAATTCAGGATACGCAGAAGACTGCTGTTTTATTATTATTGCATGCGAAATTAAAGAGCCTAAAATTGCAGCTTATTGACGTAGATGGGATGTTTTTGTGCTAGCTGGGTAAAGTATTTCTCTGATTGTTGTATAGAAAGTATCCATGAAGTATAGTTGTAAGAATTTGTAAATAATTACAAAAATATTGTATATAAATTTATTCATATATAAAAAAAATATAATATACATTTAGACACAAAACAAAATTACAGACAGAAAATGCAGACGTTAAATAGATCAGTGGGCACACAACAGAATTATGAAGTTTTTAAAATATACTGTATCACGCAAAATTATATTGCATAAAATTAAAAAGAATATTTCGTTAATACTATTATTTCATAGAGTATTTATGAGAATTTCTCAAAATGTCATTCACGCATTTAAAGGGTATACATTTAATAAAATCAAACAACACTTAAATATATAATTATTTAAAAACTTAACAGTAGTATAAAAAAATTCTTATTTTCCAACGATCTCAAGAAAATAGGAATAGTTGGAAGTTTTACTTTTTGTGCATTATTTTTTTAATATATTGCTATAATTACTTTTACGATATTAATCTGCATATTTGTATAAAACATTATTTGTTGAATTAAAATATATATTTAATACATTTATTTGTCTCGGATTGTGCGATATGCTAAACTACAAAAACAACTTTATGATGTTCATTTTTCAGATTGTTCTTTTTTAATCGTGAAGGCTAACCAACATGCTAATACTATACCAATGACCTGAAAAATAAAATACTTTTATTAGCAGGAATTCACACAAAATAAAATACAGTTTGACACTAAAAACTATAATTTTTAAATTGTCACCCCGTATATGGTGACTGTATGAAATTTTAAAGCTTACAAAACTACACTAAACAAATTTATAAAAACAATAAATTTACAAAGGAGAAAATATTTTTCAATAAATACCGTAAAGTGGGGTTACTTTGCTTAAAAAACTAAAAAAATATTTTCTGTAAATCTGGCAACGCTGCTCTAATGCAGTTGGCGGCAAAATACTACGCGATCAACAGGTTTTAAGCAGTAAGAGTCCGGAGCTCGGTGAAGCGGTACGCCATATTTGAAAATCACGTGAGTAAAAATTTTATTTTGACCTTGTAAAATCATGTTGCTATGCAAAAGGTTGTGTAATAACAACTAATGAATCTTAAATTCTGGTTTTAACATCACCTCTTCCTGTGCATATGTGAGTTCTATTTCTGATATTAACAGTTTTCCAGATGCTAAATTTCCAATAATTGTTGCGGTTGGCAAAGTTGCCCCACATTGTGTGTTTTTTTTTTAGAAAATGGTCGAACGTATAAAAGACAAGTGGATGCACGACGTTATAAAAATTATACCGAACAGCAGTTGCATAGAGCTGTTCTACTGATTAAAAGTAATCAAATGGGATATACCAAAGCATCCAAAACATTCAATATTCCTAGAAGAATCCTAGTAAATAAAGTTAAAAAAAAAACATGTAGGTCCTGATGGATCACCTCAGATAATCGCCCCGGAGATTGAACGATCCATTGTCGACGTTATAATAGTCAGCTCCGAATATGGCTGCCTGGAACCAGCATCTAGAAAGAACCACAAGGAGAGCGGAAACCTCATTAATGATGGCAAGGCGATCCTTTGGAAAAAAATGGGGGTTAAAACCAGACATGGTATACTGGCTTTATAACATGGTGGTGAGACCCATAATAACATACGCAGCTTTGGTGTGGTGGCCAAAGACACAGCAAAGGAAAGCAATAACGAGGCTAAGCAAGGTACAAAGACTTGCCTGCCTCGGAATAACGGGGGCAATGAAAACAACCCCCACTGCTGCAATCGAAGCACTAATAGGACTCCCACCTCTTCATTATGTGATACAAGGGGAGGCAAGATTAGGTGCTTGCAGATTAGGGAATACACTGGGAAATCTTGACATTAGGCCAGGTCACATGAGTATCTCAAGGTTAGTGACAGGAGACGTGCTAGAGATGAAATCAGACCACATAACCAAGAGGTACTCTTTTAATACTCCCTTTGAGGTTTTAATACAGGAAAGAGCGGAGATCACCATAAGGGAGCCCAATGCCCAACGACAGGAACAAACCTGGTATACAGACGGGTCTAAGACTGCGGAAGGCACTGGGGCAGGAGTATTCTCCAAAAACCCTGATACTAACCATAGCTATGCCATAGGAATACATTCCTCGGCATTTCAGGCCGAGGTATACGCAATTTTGCAATGTGCAAAAACGAACAATGAAAGAGCTGTCGAAAATCAGCATATTCAAATAATGTCAGACAGCCAAGCGGCAGTTAAGGCCATATCGAGTCAGAAAGTTACGTCGAGGCTGGTATGGGAATGCATCGAAGAACTAAGAACACTGGCAGACCGAAATAGAGTAAAACTATTTTAGGTGCCAGGTCACAAAGGGATCGAAGGCAACGAAAAGGCTGACGAACTTGCAAAAAGAGGGTCAGAAGAAACACCGGAACCAGACACAAACCCAGGAGTACCAAAAAGTACAGTCAGGGGTTTTATAAATGACTGGATTCGGGAACAACATATCAACTATTGGGGAAGCACCCCAAAACAGGTACATGGAAAAGCCTTCATAGGCAGACCATGTCCCAAAAGAACTGGAGAACTACTCTTAATGAATAGGAACCAGTTGAAAGTGATAACAGGGTTCATGACTGGGCACGCCCCAGTAAAGGGACACTTGAACAAAATTGGCATGTACAATGGGGAACTCATGTGCCGACTATGTCACAAGAAACCAGAAACGGCCAAACACATACTGTGCGAATGCGAAGATCTAGATCGCAAAAGACAGGTTCTTTTTGGACAACCCCAGGTTGATCCAACAACGTATAGAACCCACTCACCCAAGGATCTGTACAAACTTGTACAAGGTACAAAGGTGATAGAGTGGGTGCTATGAACTAACATGGGGTAAAACACAATAAGCCAATAGGCTTCAGTGTTATTCGGAGACACATAGGCAGACGAGCCCAGGAAAAAAAAATGGCTGCCCCCTAACACCATGACAGAATTGCGAGTAGTGTTGAAGAGTCATTTAGACAAAGAAGTTCAAAGACAATTTATCAGGTGTAGACTGGTGCAAGAATTTTATTCATAGACACAAACATGAATTATACAGACAGTGCCAAAATATTAAAAAAGCAATTGAGAAAACAGATGAGGAAATGAATAATTACTTTGATAATTTAGAAAGAACTGTGGCAGGAATTCCACCTGGTTCCATCATTAACTACGACGAGACCAATCTGACAGACGATCCTGGATCGTCGAAATGTATTTTTAGAAAAGGGATTAAATACCCTGAACGCATTATGAACTCAAAGTCCTCAATATCCGTCATGTTTGCTGCCGCTGCAGATGGAACTTTGTTTGCCCCATATGTTGTGTATAAGGCGGAGAGATTATTTGATTCCTAGTGTATCGGGAGACTCCCTGGAACTTGTTATAATAGAACCAAATCTGGGTAGTTTGATCAGTACGCATTTGAAGACTGGTTTACACAAATGGTTATAGCGTGGGCCAAAAAAATTGATGGGCCGAAACTTCTAATCGGAGATAATCTATCGAGTCATTTAAACAAAACAGTTATTAGAGATTGCCAAAGAAACAATATAAAATTCATCTTTCTACCCTCAAATTCATATTTGACACAACCTTTGGATGTGAGCTTCTTTAAGACCTTGAAGGTAGCACATTAACAACCCACAAAATCAAAAATCCAAGAGACAGTACAATACCAAAAGCACTTTTCCTCATTTATTGGAAAAGCTCATTGAAGAAATAAAATTAAAAGACGAACAAATAATTCAAAATGGATTTAGAGCAACGGGAATATACCCATGTAACAGAGAGGAGGTTCTTAATAGAATGCCTAATAAAAGATTTGATAGAATCAACACTGATATTAGCGAGAACTTGTTGGATTTAGAATTAGATGAAGTCAAGGATTTCAAAAAGACTGATGACCGCAATGACGAGCCTCAAGCCCATTGCTCCCGTGACATTGTAACTAGCAAGGCTGAAGATGAATCAAAAATTTTGATTTTCTACTTGTAGCACTTTTAGGAAAAAAAATACAAGCATTTTGTTGCACAAGTTATTGACAAAGAAAAAGACTGCTGTAATGTAAAGTTTTTAAGACTAAAATCACAAAACAATTTTTGTTTTCCTAATATCGATGACACAGGCCTTATTTTTGACCACGATATAGTGACTATTTTAGAATCGCTAAAACTTGCATCGACATCAGGACAAATTTTTACATTCTAAAATTTTGATTTTTCCAAATACATGTTTTAGTTTTTTGTTTCGTAAAAATTTAAATGTTTCTTTTGAAACATTTGTTAAGTTTCTTTTGTGACTTACTAGCTACTTAGAATAGTTAAGAATTATGTTCTTATTATTTTGTTACCTAACAGTTATTATTATTATTATTATTATTATTATTATTATTTTATAAGAGTTGTTTGTTGACTTTCAAAGAGTTCCTTTATTTTCTTAGACATACGAGGCCTGTCTTAAAAGTATCCGGCCTTTGGCCAGAAAAAATATTTCGAATACCTGACGGAGTTGGGACCCTAATCCCCTTCAAAGAAGGCCCTTTGTGCTTGCACATACTTAGCCCACCGATCCTTCCAATGCTGGAAACACCTCTGGAAGTCTTCTTTTGGAATGGTGTTCAGCTCCGTCGTCGCGTTCCGCATTATCTCTTCTCTACTCTCAAAACGGGATCCTTTCAGTGGAGTCTTCAATTTTGGAAACAACCAGAAGTCGTAAGGAGCCAGGTCTGGGCTGGAACTCTGTGTCATGTGGAATTTTACTTATCGCTTTCTACAATGGAATCGATTACTTTCTTTTGTGATAAATACGTTATCAACCGCATGGGAAATATCGCAATGTGGTTTCTTATGAAACTAGTTATCCTGTAGTAAGTATATACTCGTTGGTTTTCCGCTATGTTACACAGAGTGCCACAAAAGAATCTATTGTAGAAAGCGATAAGTAGAATTCTACATGACACAGAGTTCCAGCCCAGGAGAGTAGGGAGATTGTCGAACGGTTGTAATTCCATGTTGATCAATTGGGATGAATGTGCAGGGGCGTTGTCATGATGATGCAAGTGCCAGTTGTTCGCCGTCCACATGTCTGGTCTTTTGCGCAGAAATGCGTTACGGAGTCGCCGGAGAACATCTTTATAGTACTCCTTTGTCACTGTTTGTCCTTCCGGTGCGTATTAGTGATGCACAATTCCGCGGACATCAAAGAAAACAGTCAGCATCACTTTGATTTTGCTTCTCACCTGACGCGCTTTCTTCGGCCTTGGATAATCGGGATGCTTCCATTGCGACGACTGTCTTTTTGTTTCTGGGTCGTACCCGTATACCCATGACTCATCTTCAGTTATCACGGTACTCAGAATCCCAGGATCAGTGTTGGCGGTGTCCAGAAGGTCTTGTGCAATGTCAAAACGAAGATCTTTTTGTTACGTCGACAACAACTTGGATACGAATTTCGCAGCCACCCGGTACATGTTCAAATCTTTACGCAAAATTGCATGTGCAGAATCTTTACTCACTCCAACCTCTTCTGCAATTTCCCGCACTGTCAAACGACGATCTGCCATTATCAAATTTCGTACCTTCTCAATATTAGCTGCACTCCGAGCAGTTTGGGACCTGCCACAACGCTGCTC